AAAAAAAAAAAAAAAAAAATGTCACGTCAGAATGATATTTAATAAGAAAAAAATTAAATTGCAGAAAATGATTAGTTGATTTTTATATGCCCATCATAAAGTCCAATGGATTAATACGAATTTATAATGTAGTGGATGATATTAGTTGTTTATACATCATTTGGTGCTTTCAGCAGAACAATAATCATATTATAGGTACATAACTTTTATGTACTTCTGTAAAATGATTCATGGTGTGTAATTTGTGAGAAAAGTTGGAAAATTCTGAAAATCGAGAATCTAAACCCTCAATTATAAATCTGAGCGAATCAGTCACCAAAGAACGACTCACAAATTGTTCACACAAATGTTATGCATAATAATACTAATAATAACAATAAATATTCAATTGCTGGTAAGTATTACTTTTCGGATTTTGTAATAATTATTTTGTTGATATACAATTGACAACTGAAAAATTAAACATATGTTAATATTATATATAAGATATAAAAATAGTACTACTACCAATCTGCACATGTATTACTTATTTGTTTGTTACTTTAATACATCATATAAATATTATAAAATATAATTGGTAGCATATATAAGATGTCCATAGCAAATGGTCAAATTAGAAGCCATAAATAATAAAGTACTTTTGCAGGTTTTGCACCAGATAAAATCAAAAGATAGGAAAAGCTTCCAAAAATGGAAAAAATTAGAGTAGAGGAAGCAAAAAATTGTAAACCCTAGGATTAGAGTGGGGTCTCAACCTGTCCGTCAAATGTCAATTCTGCCCATCGTTGTTCAAAACGCTTCTGCAGGACGCAACAAATCCGCTCCAGTCTTTAATTAGTTACACTTTACACCCATTAATTAATTACTGCCCACCTATGTATCTTCTTCTTCTATTTTTTTTTTTTTTTCATTTTATTCATCAAAACATATATAGATAAATGTATTTCATAAAAATATTTTATCAATGATGTTATTATTCATTTTATATCAGATTATCAGCTATTTATCAAACACTGTATCGGCCAATACAATCAATACTTATCAGCTAACCTCTCTAACTATGCTTCGAGTCTAATATTGCTTATATGACATATATATGAATCTAAGTTTTGGATGACATGAATATAACTTAAATGAAAATAACCAAATTCATCTAAGAGACCAGGTCTCTACTACTTGTGTATATTAATAGAAGGATTAATCGAGTTTCTATTTCTTACTGTCACAGCAGTAAGACTCAATCCACTTTCATTTGCATTGGAGAATATCTTTTAGATTGAGTTTATGGTATACGTGGCATGTGAATAGACCCAAAGTATTCTAAATGTTCTAATCCGATCAGTTATGTAATCGCTAATTGTCAAATAAGACATTATTTTTTTTCAATGTTATGTTTTTCGTTTTTTCCTTATAAAGATAATGTTATGTTTTTCGTTTTTTCTTTATAAAGATTCAATACATTTGCAATGCTCACAACAATAAAATGATGAAATTCTAGTGAAAAATTCCAACAAAATATATTGCAATGGAATTACAACGACAATTCCAATTGATATTTCAATGCTATTATTTTCATTAGAATTTTCTAATAATTCCAACGAAAATATTTTGTTGGAATGAGTTTCATTAGAATTCCCGTTGGATTTTGACAATTCCAATAATATATATTCCAACGATTGAAATATGAGTGGAAATAAAAATTTCACTGGAAATTGCATATTCCAACCAAATTTCTACGGCAATAAACCATTGAAAAAATAATTGTTGGAACCTATCAAATTCCAACTAAAATTTCAACGGAAAACCGTTTCTAACGAAATATTTTCGTTAGAATTTATGTTTGAATCAAAACGGAAGTTATACCATTTGAATATTCGTTGAAATTTTTATTGTAATTTTCGGTGGAATATTACATTTTTTTGTAGTGACTATTAGTTTAAAAATAATAATCTTATGGAATGTATATCTGTATAGTAACTGCTAAGATTCAGAAAGTATTTATGTTTGTGCTAAGTTTTAGTAAATGGGATTGTGATGCTCAATTGCTCAACTGTTACATACATATGTACTGTGAGTTATTGCAGATTTTTTGCTACTTAAAAAAAGCCCTCAAATTTCGCACTCGTTGTAACGTACCCTAAAATCCATCAGTTCTATAAATACCTCTTCTTTATTGTGCGCTCTTCCATCCCAACTCCCTTTATAAGCCGTCTCTCTTTCTCATCAAATAAACTTTTCCCATTCTTTTTTACACAAATATAAATTTTATTATTAGTTAGATGAATGGAATTAGAAGCTCTCAGCCAGTTTTTGCGGGTGGAGCATCATCAAGATTCACGTATAACTTTTCTAGGCTACATTAATTATTTTTTTTTTTTGGTTAAAATGTATCTATTTT